TGAGTGTTCTATTTAACAGTCTAGATACAAATCCTTTGCAGATAGGTGGTTTGCAAATATTTTTTTCACCATTCTCTAGCTTGTCTTTTCACTCCTTTCACAGGGTCTTTGGAAGAACAAAAGTTTTTCATTGTGATGATGGTCAGTTGATCATTTTTTCCCCTTACAGAGCACGCTTTTAATGTCAGAGCCACCAATCCTTCATCCCTCCCTTGGTTCTGGATTTCTTTTCCCAAGGAGCACCGGTTAGTTTACTTCTAGAAGTTTCATGGTTTTACGTTTTACATTTTTTTCTAAAAGCTTTAGCGTTGTTGATTTTTCCTTTGAATCCATGTTTTCCTGTTGTTTGCCATGATGAAATTTATTACCCAGTTATGAAGATTTCTAAGATTTCTACTGCGGTGGACTGTATTGTTGTTTGCATTATTCGATCTCCCTCTTTCCTCTATGAGGATCTGTGCCCATTGCCGCGTAGGAGATTGAGACTGGGAAAGTTAGGTTCAAGGATATCCACCCAAGCTGTAACCCACAGGTGTAGAGACCGCCATCGCCAGGCAGATGTCTTTTAACGTCCACAGGAGTGAGTGACTAGACACTAGAACACAGCTGCCAAAGCTCCCAAACGCCACAGCTCTGCTTGCCTGGGGACATAGGCGAAGGGGCGGGAAGGAGGATCCATCTCACTTTTGCCTTCCAGACCACACTGGGTACATCCGGTGGGGGGAGTCAAATGCATAATCGGAGCCCAATCACTCAGTCCCTCAGCAGGTTACCAAACTTCTCAGGCCCACCTTCCATCATATACTTTCTTTTCCTTCCTTTACTCTTGTTTCCAAGCTCCTTTATGGTAAAAGAGAACAAAAATGTACTCAAGCAAAATGTTGAGCTCAATGATTGATCAAAGCAAACCCTCATGTCCGGGTGAGAGCTAGAATGTCAGCACTAGAGAGCCCTTCCGGTTCTCCAATCACTTCTGCTCCCTTCCTCCTAAGTGACAACAAACCTGTTTTCGTCATTGTTTTGGTGGTTTAAAAAATATATATGTATATGTACATATACATATATATATATGCCAGTTAAAGTAACATATCCCTAAGTACTATGGTTTCATTTGCCTGCATTTGAACTTTATAAAGTAACATGCCTTTTTTTGTGTGTCCAGTTTTTTGTTCAGCATTGTGATGTTAATCCAGATAGTACAGATAGTGACATGGCTGCATAGTATTCCACAGTATAAATATGTCACCATGTCTTTAGCCTTTCTACGGTTGATGGTTGGTCTTTTTCCAGTATGACTATTACAGATAATACTGCTATAAATAATTATGTATATGTCTTTTGGGGCACTTATGTGCATTTTAGCTGGGTATATATGTAGGTGTGGATAAAGTGACATTTTTAGTTTTTTTTTTTTATAAGGTGAGGTTTAGGTAAAGAGTTTTCTTTTTTTTTTTTTTTCCCCTTTCCCTTTCTCGTTTCTCCTTTCCTTCCCTTCCCTTCCCTTCTCTTTTTTCTTTTCCTTTCCTTTCCTTTTCCTCCCTTCCCTTCCTTTCCCTTCTCTTTTCTTTTTCCTTTCCTTTCCTTTCCTTTCCTTTCCTTTCCTTTCCTTCCTTGCCTATGGATGTCCAATTGCTTGTTCCAGCACCATTTTTTGAAAAAATAGGACAGGTGTTTTTAATGTTCTAGCCAAATGGATCCTCCTAAACCAAAATCAGACCATGCTATTCTCCTGTTAAAATTCTGCAATGGCTTCTTGCTGCACTAAGAGGACACCTACCTCTCCAACTTCATCCTGGACCAATTTCCACCCCCTCCCACTATATCCCAGGCAGCTTTCCTTCCTTTCAGCCCCCTATACAATCCAATTGCTTTTGAGCTCACCTTTCCTTCTGCTTGGAAGGATCTTTCCCTGGTTCCACAAGAGACAGGCTCTTTCTATTCCCTGAAGCCTCAGTTTAAAATCATCTCCTCCGATAAACTTCTCTGACTACCCTGTGAGAGTAGAACCTTCTACACAACTGCCCATCATTCTCTGTCACAGCAGCCTGCATATTTCCTCCACAGCTTTGATCAACATTTGCAAGTGCTTTAACTACTTATTTATTGTCTGCCTTCCCCCTTAAAGGGGCCAAGTTGTTGATCTTGCCCACACTGCTTCCCCAGTATGTAGCCCTGTGGCTTGCATACAGTAGTTGCATCAAAAATATTGGTTAAGGGGCGCCTTGCTGGTCAGTCAGTAGAGCATGTGACTCTTGATCTTGGGGTTGTGAGTTCGAGCACCATGCTGGGTGTAGAGAGGACTTTAAAAAATATATATTAGTTAAATGTTGTCATTAGGCTAAAGTTTGTGATATGTCCATTCTTGTCACAAAATGAGGAAGAATTTCCCAAAAACTAGAGCTGTGTGAGAAGAAACAGGCTGCTTGGAATATCTGAAGTCCTCCCCCTGGAATGGGGTGACACAGAGGCATTTTCACATCTCAAGAAACCTGACAGCACCCGAGGGACATGTGGAGCTGACTGGTTGGATATACAGATATAACAAGATGAAATGGTGAAATTTATTTTTATTTCTTGTCCTAAAATATTCCTACCATTCTTCTAGCCAATCAGTAGATCCATATGGCCTCAAAGAGAAAGCAAATGTAACAGCAGCAGAAAAGAGGGAAAAAATGTTAATATTCTTTTTCTTTCTTTCTTTCCTCTTTCTCTCTTTCTTTCTTTTTTGCTTCAAACTAGGCTCTTGAAAGCCGGAAGGAGAAGCCCTCGTTAGAGCAGAAGTTGGAGTTTACGCCATAAAAAAAGGTGACAATAGAGATATTCCTTTGGGCACAACCATCCCAGAGCCAAATAGAGTTTGTGGTTCTTTTGCCTAAACCAAGGATTCCAGACAATTTATGGAAGAAATGGCCAATCCAATTTGGCAGCTGTTTCCATGACAACTGACTGGCATGCAAGACTTTGAGATTAATGATTCCATTTCACAGGCAATAACATTAAGCTTGTAAAGTTCAGATGGTTCTAGGGATAATCTCTGGAGATACTTTTTTGGTTACAAGATGGGGAACAAGATGGTTATAAGTTTTTACCCAAGGGCCTTCATTCTTGTGAATATTTTCTGCCTGGTATTACATCTGTGTCAATACCCTCATCTCCCTAGAGTTTCTTTTCACAAAAACTGGTTAATTAAGTGTCTCTCAGTCTCAGGATTTAGGCAGGATTTTATTAGCCAATAAGAATAGAAAATAGAGAACTGTAAAAATGTTGGACTAAGTTAAAAATGTAGAAGATTATAAATTTGGGGGCATCTGGGTGGCTCAGTCAGTTAAGCATCCAACTCCTGATTTCCCTTCAGGTCATGATTTCAGGGTCGTGAGATCAAGCCCCACGTTGGGCTCTGTGCTCATCGGGAGTCTTCTTGGGATTCTTTCTCCCTCTCCTTCTGCCCTTACCCCCCATTCTCTCTCTCTCTCAAATAAATAAATAAATAAATCTTTATGCCCCCAAAAAGAAAATTATAGATTTTTTAAAAAGGTGATGAGGTTTATATTTTACCTCCACAGAAAAAGCACACAAATAGAGGGAAGTTTCAATAAGACCATCTATGTTTAGGAGAGGATGCCCAAATGAGAAGGCACGGGAGGTGGAGGGGTGTGTGTGTGTGTGTCTGTGTGTATGTGTGTGTATGTGTTGGAAGAGATTTTGAGTACATTTGTTAAAGAGGAAGGGGCGCCTGGGTGGCTCAGTGGGTTAAGCCTCTGCCTTCGACTCAGGTCATGATCCCAGAGTCCTGGGATCGAGCCCCACATCGGGCTCTCTGCTTAGCAGAACCTGCTTCCTCCTCTCTCTCTGCCTGCCTCTCTGCCTACTTGTGATCTCCATCTGTCAAATACATAAATAAAAAAAAAAAAAAAGAGGAAGTCTAAGCTCAACATGGGTTCAAATTCTGATCCTACTGCTTATTAGCTCTGTGACTTTAGGCAAATGACCCTTTCTGTGCCATAGAGTCCTCATTTGAAAAATGGGGTTTATAAAATGAGGGTTGCTGGAGGGGTGGTGGGTGAGGGATAGGATAACTGGGTGATAGGCATTAAGGAGGGCACATGATGGAATGAGCACTGGGTGTCATATGCAACTGATGAATCGCTAAACCCCACCTCTGAAACTAATAATACACTACATGTTAATTAATTGATTTTAAATTAAAAAAAAGAAAGAAAGATGGGATTTATGGTCATAATAACCTACAAAATAGTCTTTTTTGTATTATATTGTGTGCATATGCGTGTGCGTGTTTTCTTAGGGCATTTCCTCACCCTCCCCTTCTCCCACCCCATAGAGTCCAAGCTCCTCCTGAGCAGGAGGTCATTCTATGACTTGATCATCATCTTTGTGTCTCTTGTATAACTACTATAGTCCATACCATGCAGTGGACAGTCAACACACACTTCGCCAATGGTAGGTGCCCTCCCAATGATGCTCTAGAAAGAGATAAACAAATGTTGAACTGAATGTGGTAATTGCAAGAGTTAGCAAAATTTCCAAATATCTGTTTGTCTTCGTAGCCAAAAATGATTGTTACCCTAGGCTAATGCGTTTTTAGAGTGTGTCAAGGCCAAATCAATCTCTAATAAAAATTTATATAATTATCATTACACATTTTGAGAATAGTGTTTGTAATTGGGGAAGAATTTCGGCCTTAAGTACATGCATGGATAAATACTCTTTTTAACCGAAGTTGTCCCTTTGAAAGGCTGACAGGAGGTATAAAAATCAGTTTGTCTTTTCTTTCTTTCGTTTGTCTTCAAGGCGTCCGCATTTGATAGTAAGATGGAATCGCTGAGATAGGAAAAGCCAGCGGGGGGTGGGGTGGGGGAGGGAACGCCTAGAAGGAAGAATACGGTTTGTTTGTCCTTCGCGCCGCCCCGTAGTTTGCCGGCGTGCAGGGGCGGCGCGCGCGGGTTTGAAAGCGGGGAGGGTCCGGTCCCAACGACTGTTACGGAGTACTTGTGTTGGCGGGTGGCGGGCCTGAGGCAGCCCGGGTTGTGCTGAGGGCCACTCGGGATCCGTTTTCAAGACAGCCTTGGCCTGGACCGTTCCACCCCGGGGCGGTTGAGGTAAGGTGAGCTTTGGTGGACCCCTAACCACGCGTGGGCCCGGCTTGGCGCAGGACCCCCTGCCCCCCGGAGCCGCGGCCTCTGTGTTTGCTTGGTGACAGCTCGGGGCCCAGAGGGAAAGGTGACGTTGGGAATGTGGCGTTCAACGGGGAATTCCCTTAGGAAAAGTGTTTTCGACCCAAACCCGCGTGCGCATCTGAATCGCAGGGTAGGGTGGGGATTTCAAGAAAGAAATTCCCCTTTTCTCGAAGTGAAGCCTAACAGTCTGTACTGTTTATGGAGGATCCGTAGGACAAGACAATGGATCTAGCGGGTTGCCCTTATTTTACGGTTGGTTTCACAGACAGATGCCAAGAGGCCCGGGTCTCTGCTCCAGGCGAGACCCCAGGGTTTAGGGACATCTTAGATGCACCAGATCCGAGCACAGGCTTGCGCTTGGTGGGAACGATGGTTTCTTACCGCCGCCCAGTGAATCTCAGTTCCAGCTCTTAGGGGCGGCTGGAATTGGCGAGGGATTTCTGGTGGGAACAGAGAAGGTAGGGCTTGAGAAAGAGGGTTTTGAGAAAGCACGGTTCCCTCCTTTGAACTTCACGTCTAATGTTGCTTCCGGTTTTCAGGTGAGGTGACTGAGCTGGTGGAAGAAGGATTTTAACTACCAGCCTTCTGGAAGCTCCTGGATTGGTTGGCGGGGGGTGTCCAGGGGACTGGCGGGGTGGGTAAACGGTTTGTGCTTATACCTCCAGGAAGCTCTGGGATGCAAAGCGTGCAGGACCTTAGAAATAATCCGATCAGAACTTTGCCTTTTTCAGGCTTCTTTCCTCCTCTATTTCCTTTTCTCATTATCGTTACCAATTCTCTATTTCTGCTTTTTCTTTTTTCTTTGTTTCTTTGTTTTTTGTTGTTGTTGCCTGTCAATACAGTTCGGTTCTGCCCAGTAGTATCCATGTGTTTAGTCCTACAGTGGCTTCGGGTACCAAAGTTATTGACATCTGATTCAATAGATCTTTTGATTAACTTGCTGAGCTCTGTTAATTTTTAAATATTGCTTCTTAAACAGTACTTGATTAAAAAAAAAAACTCCTAAATACTCCATAGACAATGAAATTTTGCCCACAGTCATAATACTTTCATTTCTAATGTATCGTCATGTAAGATATTCACAATTTTATGCTGCTTCCTTTGTAAGAACCTTGTGATTCGGAACACTATGGTTATTTAGCAATTTATATATAGAGAAAGAGATAGATCTATATGTATATAGATTACATATATCAAATCTGTGAGTTTGGACTAGTGGCTCGAAACCATCTCTCAGTTCCCTGAGGCCTGAACTGTTTTGCCATAACAGAAGGTGCTCAGAAAACTGTGAGATGGAGAGGGTGTAGTGTGTTTAGGTGCAAGTAGGCTGTAGCGGGAAGTGGGAGAGAGTCCTCGAGTGTTCTAGAATGTAATATTAAAAGCTTGTTTAAACTTAGATGTTTTTAGTTGGAGGAAGATTTTATGCTGCTTCTGAGTATCAGATCCTCTTTATGCTGAGGGAAAGGGCAATGAGACTTAAGAGGCAGTAAAATTTCCAGGATACCTCACTTTGTGGGATTTTTTTGCATCCTCGTTTTCTGGCTCCTTGTCAGTTTACTCTGTTCTTCATCTCTCATGTTGAGATTTCTCAGAGTTCTGTGTTTCCTATCTTTACTTACTCCTTAGATGATTTTAACCAGTCTCTTGGCTTTAATACCATATATATACTGATATGCCACAAATTTGTACCTTCAGATTGGATTCCAGACCTATATCCAGCTGCCTATTTCACGTTCTTATTCAGGTGTCTAATCAGGTATTCAAAATTGTCTTCCTGGGGCATCTGGGTGGCTCAGTTGGTTAAGCGGCTGCCTTTAGCTCAGGTGATGATCTCAGTGTCCTGGGATCGAGCCCCTCATCAGGCTCCCTCTCAGCGGAGAGCCTACTTCTCCCTCTGCCTCTGCCTGCCGCTCTGCCTACTTGTGCTATCTCTCTGTCAAATAGATAAATAAAATCTTTTTTAAAAAGTTCAAAGGAAAAATGACTTCCTTATCTGAGTAATGGTACCTATATTCTTTCAGTTGCTCAGTCTGAAAACTTGGAGCTGTCTTTGACTTTTCTCTCATTCCTAACAAAAATCCAAACATTAGGAATTCTTCTTGGTTCCAGATTCATAATACGTCCAGAACCCAACCATTTCTCACCATGTCTTTACTGCTACCATCCTGATCCAAACCACCATATCTCTCCTGGATTATTGCAGTGTTGTGTCTGTCCTTGTTCCCCTTCAGTTAATAAACATAAGTGGGAGTGATCCTGTCGAAACATAACATGGAGTATATCACTCCTCCTTGTAAAACCCTCCAATATCTTCCCCTTTCTCAGCAAGAGCTGAAATCCTTACTGTGACCGAAGCTCTATGAAGAAAAGATGAGGTCTTTGTGGCTTCAGTGCTGCACTTGGTTTGCTCTCCTTCATGCCCAATCTCTGTGACTTCATTTCTTTCTCCCTTTTGCTAGCCCTGCCCTCTTAGCTTTCCCTTGAATGCTTTCAGCCTCAGGGCCTTTGTATTTACTACTTTTGTCCTGCAGACTTCCCCTAGATATTTGCATGGACTAGCTCCCTTACTTCTTTTAAACAACATCTCAAGGAGACCTCCCTTGACCACCCCAGTTCAAATTTCAAGCTCCTTGAAAGGAGCTCCTGTCTCAGCCCATCTCACCTCACTGGTGTATATTTCCCCAGCTTCTATACCATTATCTTCTGTATTTGTGTTCTTGTTTGTTTGGGTCTTGTTCACTGTTGGGTCTCCGGTGCCTAGAAAAGTGCCTGGTGCATAGTACATGGCGGTGCCTAGAACAGTGCCTGGTGCATAGTACATGTTCAATAAGTATGGGTGTTGACGGAGTGAATGAAGAATGGCTTCTCATAGGTACATAGGAATCTTAGAAGCTCATTGAGTGCTCCTTCACAACTTCTTTTGAGGGCAAATGAATGAAGATGAAAGAAGGGCCATCAGAACCATATGGGGAAATTATTTCCCAAGTAGAAGTAGCTCCTCCAGCCCCCTCTGTTAAAATGGTTTATCCTTCCTGAAAGACCTGAAATGTCCTCAAAAATGTGTTCCTTCCTTTTAGTCAAATGTTTCACTTGATAAAATTAGTGTACTTTTGTACGAAAAGGAGATCTTTGGTGTTCAAAATTCAGGCAAATCTGAAAACAGTGGTGATTGTAACTAATTAAAAAAAACAAACTTCTCATTAATAGACAATTAAAGGTAGGCCTTTGAGGTGATTTTTCTTGGCAGAGTTTTTAAAAATACTATTTATTAAGAGCTCTATTCAAAATTTAAACGTATGTTCTCTCTGCCTGCCAATTTTTATTTTATTTTGTTATTATTTTTTACATTCCAGTGTCGTTTGCATATAGTGTTATATTTGTTTCAGGTGTACAATATAGTGATTCACAGTTCTGTGTATTACTCAGTGCTCATCATAAGTGTACTCTTTTTTTTTTTTTTTTAAGATTTTATTTATTTGACAGATCACAGAGAGGCAGGCAGAGAGAGAGGGGGAAGCAGGCTCCCTGCCAAGCAGAGGGCCCGATGCAGGGCTCGATCCCAGAACTCTGAGATCATGACCTGAGCTGAAGGCAGAGGCTTAACCCACTGAGCCACCCAGGCGCCCCCATAAGTGTACTCTTAATCCCCTTCACCTATTCTACCCATCTCATCCCTTCCTCCTCTCTGGTAACCATCAGTTTGTTCTCTATAGTTAAGAGTCTGTTTTTTGGTTTGTCTTTGTTTCACCACCTCCAGTTTGTTTTGTTTTTTAAATTCCACATATGAGTGACATCATATGGTATTTGTCTTCACTTAGCGTTATACTCTCTAGATCCATCCATGTTGTTGCAAACGGCAAGGTTTCATTTTTTATGACTGAGTAATATTCCACTACATATATGTACCACATCTTTATCCATTCATCTATTGATGGACACTTGGGCTGCTTCCCTAATTTGGCTATTGTAAATGATGCTGCAGTAAACATTTGTGTGCATATATCCCTCTGAATTAGTGTTTTGGTATTCTTTGTGCAAATATCAAGTAGTGAGATTACTGGATCGTAGAATAGTTCTGTTTTCAGTTTTTTTGAGGAACCTCCATACTGTCTTCCACAGTGGCTGCACCAATTTGCATTCTCACCAACAGTGCATGAGAGTTCCTTTTTCTCCACATCTTCACCAACACATGTTGTTTCTTGTGGTTTTGATTTTAGCCATTCTGACAGGTGTGAGGTGATGTCTCACTGTGATTTTGATTTGCATTTCCTTGATGGGGTGATGTTGAGCATCTTTTCATGTGCCTCTTGGTCATCTGTTATGTCTTCTTTGGAAAAATGTCTATTCATGTCTTCTCATTTTTTAATTGGATTTTTTTATGTTCTTTATATATTTTGGATACAAACCCTTAATCTGCCTCCCAATTTTTTTAATAGGTAAACCAAACAATCTTACAGACATGTAGTGAGAGTTTACTTTACAATAAATCTAATATGAACCAAACTATTTTTAAAAAAGAAAAAGTAATATTTAAAATTTTTATTAAAAAGGATTCTTTAACAGATGTATTACAGAAGAAATAAAAAGCTTGGATTAACTTGCTTGTATACACAGTATGTATATTTTTTGTTGATAGGTAATTTTTATATAACTTATTGAGATATATAATTTACATATTATTAAATTTACTTTCTGAAAATATATGATGTAGCGACTTTAGGAATAGTCTGAATTGGGTATATTAAATCACTACCCAATTTTAGAACACTTTTATCATCACAAAAAGAAACCCCACACCCACCAGGAGTCGCTCTGTGTTCTCCCTTCTCCCCAGCCCTTGTCAACTACTAATCTGTTTTCTGTCTGTGGATTTGTTTATTGTGGACATCTTCTGTAAATGGAATCATATATGTGGCCTCTTGTGTCCGGCTTCTTTCACTTAGCATAATCTTTTTAAGTTCATTCATATTGTAGTATATATCAGGACTCTTCCTTATTACTGAATAATATTCTGTTGTGTATATTGTATGCCTTATTTTGTTTATTCATCATCTGATGAATACTTCTGCTTCTTCTTTTTGGCTGTTATGAATAAATGCTGCTTGCACAGACAGTTTCTCTAAAATGTATGAGAGACCTGTTAACAATGACCCCTGGGAAGTGAGAGGGAAACTTTATGTACTAGGTGATTTTTTTTTTTTAACCAAGTTCATATATAACTTTTTTTTCCCTAGTGTGTATATTACTTTTTAATAACAAACAAGCATAAAAACCTAATAATTAATAGTATGACATTGGGTAAGTAGTTCTACTTCTCTAGGTGTCAGTGTTCTCATTATAAATAAAATTGGACTAAATATTTGTCATGGTTTTTTTCAGTTCTCAAATTTTATGTTTATATGATAAAATGAGTTACAGTGTTACAGGGTTTTTTTTCCTTCATGAATGAGAGTTGTATTCTGTATAACTGCAGTGTAATTTTCAATTTGTTTTCATCATAGGACCTAAACTGTTTATTACAATGGAAGAAATCAATAATTTCAAGACGCCAAGCAAAGTATCTGAAAAAAAGAAATCTGGTAAGATATAAAATCTCTTTTCATTGTTATTGCTATAGAAATGTCTTAGCATTATTAGAGTTTGATCCTTTAATTATTATTTATCATACACATACAATTTTAGCATAAGTCCTCTTTGTAATGTTGATTTTAATAAGACTTGTTTTGTAGGCTAGGGTTTGGCCATCTAGTGGGTAATTTTATTGATATTCTAACAGATTTGGAGGTTCTCTCTGGTAAAGAATTAATTTGAACCATGAAGTACTTTAGCTTTCCCCTTCTGGTACATGCAGTGCTCTTGTGAGGGGAAGAGTTTCTAAGGCAATTCAGTGAATAAAGGGTAATCTTTTCAACAAATAAAAGCTTTTGGATATCCATATGCAAATTGATCTCCACTTTAATCATACAAAAATGATTAAAATTATACATTTTCTGGAAGATAATTTAGGAGAAAATCTTATCTTGTTCATTTCTAGTACATAGATTTTTGTGTACAGACTTTGTGTCCTGAAACTGTGCTAAAGTCACTTCTTCTATTAGCTTTTTATGGGTTCCTTAGGCTATTACATACATAGTTGGTACTGTTGTAGATGAATATATGAAGATAGTGTTACTTTTTTTTTTTTTTTACACCAGTCTGTGTTAGTTTCTTTTTTTCTTTCCCTATGTCACTGGCTCTAGTATATTTTTGAATAGAAGAGGTGTGAGTTAGACATACCTCCCTTGTTCCTAGTGAAGTTTTATGTTAGATGTAGGTTTTTCAGTTATCTTTTTTTTTTTTAAAGATTTTATTTATTTATTTGACACAGAGAGAGAGAGGTCACAAGTAGGCAAAGAGGCAGGCAGTGGGGAGGGGTGGAAACAGGCTCCCAATGCGGGACTCGAGCCCAGGACCCTGAGATCATGACCTGTGCAGAAGGCAGAGGCTTAACCCACTGAGCCACCCAGGTGTCCTCAGTTATCCTTTATCAGGGTGAGGGATTTCTTTTTATTATCCTTCATCAGGTTGAAGGTTATTATGAATGGATGTTGAACTTTGTCAAGAGCTTTCTCAGAATCCATTGAGATAGTTTGCTTTTTTTAGTCTTTTAATGTAACTTATGTTAAATTTCAAATGGTAAACCAACCTTTCATTCCTGGGGTAAAGTCAGTTTGCTCCTGGTGTATTTTATGTATTGTTTGATTCGGTATGCTAATATTTTCTGTGTTCATAAGGGATATTGGACTGTATAGTCTTTTTTTTTTTTGGAATGTCTTTCTGGTTTTGATATCAGCATATTTTATATTCATAAAGTATGATGGGGAGTGTTTCCTTCTCTTTCCTTGGAGAGTATATGTGGAGTTGATAAATTTTTTTTTTTCCTTAACTGGTTTTTCCTCTTCTACTGATAGTAAAGCCATGTATGTGGCCTGAAGTTTTCCTAGGAGGAAGATTTTAACTGTGACTTCACAGTTAATTGGCATAGGGCTCTTCAAATTATCTATTTCTTCTTGTGTAAACTTTGCTAGTGTTTTTCAAGAAAGTTTTTCACTTTAAAATTGTCAAATATACTGGCAAAATGTTATCTGTGATATACTCTTTATTACCTTATTACCCTTCTAATGTCAGTTGGATCTGTAGTGATATCTCCTTTTTCATGTCTGATGTATTTTACATTTTCTTTCTTGACTTGAGGTTTATTTATTTTGGTGAACGTTTCAGGCACTTGAAAAGTCATGCTGGGGCGCCTGGGTGGCTCAGTGGGTTGAGCCTCTGCCTTCGGCTTGGGTCGTGATCTTGGGGTCCTGGGGTTGGTCCCCGCATCGGGCTCTCTGCTTGGCGGGGAACCTGCTTCCCCCCGCCCCCTGCCTACTTGTGATCTCTGTCAAATTAAAAAAAAAAAGAGAGAGAGAGAAAAGGTCATGCTTTCTGCTGCTTAGGGGTACAGTGTTCCAGGACTATCATTAGGTCAAGCTGATTGACTTACGTTGTTTTGTTCAGGTCTTCTGTATCTCTACTAATTTTACTTATTCTGTTTTTGAGAGAGGTATCTCCAACCACAATTGTGGATTTACCTACTTTTTCCTTTGAGTGCTACAGTGATTGTTTATATATTTTGGAGCTTGTTATCAGATACTTTTACATTTAGGATGGTTATTTATTTTGATGATTTACCACTTTACTATTATGAAATGTCTTTATCCAGTGTTGTACTCTTTGAAGTTCATTTTATGTGATATGTGTTCACTTTTATGTGATAAAACCAGTCCAGTTTTATTTTGATTACTGTTTGAATAGGATGTTTTCCAACTTTTTACTTTTAACCCATCTATGTTTTTATATTTAAAGTGAGTTTATAATAGCAGATAATTATGTCTTGTTTTGTTTTTATCCATTCTGACAATTTCTGCCTTTAATTGGACTGTTCAGTCATTAGCCACTGTGGTGATTTAAATTTAGGTTCAAATGAATTAAAAATAAAATTATAAATTTAGTTCCTTAGTTGTACTAGCTACTTCTCAAGTGCTCATTAACTACATGTGGCCAGTGGCTACCATACTGGACAACACAGATAGAGAACATTTCCATCATGACAGAAAATTCTACTGGACAATAGTATTTAGACAGCCTTTAATGTAATTCTCTGTGGTTGGATCAAATCTACTATTTTTGCCGTTGTCCCAAAGCTCGCTGATGATTTCTTTGTGTTTTTTTCTAATATTTTTTTCTGTACTTCATTTTTGGTAGTTTTTGTTGCTTTGTCTTAAAATTTAGTTACCTTCTTCTCTAGATGCTTCTCTAACAGTATCTCTAGATGCTCTAATTCTTATCCATTGTCTTTTTTATTTCTTGTAGTTCCATTAGAAGTTTTTTTTACATCTTTTTTTTATTGCTACACTCACATTTTCCTTTACATTATTGAACATATTTTTAAGATTTCTATTTTAAGGTTCTTACCCCCTAATTCTACATCACTGTCATTTTATGGTATGTTGCTATTGGTTTATTTTTCTCCTGGTGTGGGTCATATTTCTTCTTTCATGCCTGGTAGTTCTTTTACTGGCTACTGGACATTTTACATTGTCGAGTGCTAGATTTCGTTATTCCTTGGAGGACTGTGTGGTTTTGTGATGGTCCAGTTAACGTTACCTGCACATTAGCTTGGTTTTTTTGAGGTTTGCTTTTAAGCTTTACTGTAAACCTTTTCCTTGGGCTACAATTTAGCTGGACTGTTTAGAGGACTTTATTCAATGCCCTGGGTATTAACCGAGTTACCACACCCTGGCTGTTGGCAACTGAACCATTCCTGGACCCGTGTGCTCTCTGACAGCTGTTTAGTCTACTGCTTACACTTGGTGTCTTCCCTGATTTGGCAGGGGGCGGGGGCGTCTGTCCATTGGTTGTACTTATAACCAACACTGAAAAGAGGGAGACCTCTTTTCAGGTCTCTGGAGCTTTCTCTCTCATTTTGTGGCTCCCTATAGTTCTCTACTCCATAAATTCTAGCTACTTAGGTTTCTTGGATTTCTGATCTCTGTTTCTTGAGTTTGACAAGACTTCTGGGCTGTGTTTCTTTGCTCTACAGCCCAGAAACTGCCTTAAAACAGCAAGTTAGGGCTATGATAGGGCTCACATCATTGTTTCTCTTCACTCAGACTTCACAACCCTGCTCTGCCTGTCATCAAATGTCTGAAAACTTACATTTTGTCAAGTGTTTTAGTTATTCATGGCAAGAAGGCTGTTCAGTTGTTCCATGAACAAAAGTAGAACTCCTCCATATCATCTTCTTTAACGACTACATAAAGCTCTGCAATACAGATACAGTGTAATTATGACCCTAATGATGCCTACTTAGGTTTTTGTTTGTTTTTTTGCAGTCACAAAATCAAATACCAATATTCAAATATATATGTGTGCATGCGTGTGTGTATGATGTCTGCACACGTGCTGTAGTACACAGTTGGCAAACAACATACAGTAATAGTTTAGGCTTTGTGGGCCACATAGGGACTCTGTGGATTATGATTCTTTGTTTTTTAACAACACTTTTATAATCTAAGAACAAATCTTAGCTTGTGAGCCAAATGAAAATAGGCTGTTTGCTGACCCTTGTTTCGGTGTTACTGTAAGACAGGGCCTCAAAAGCAGATTTGGTCAAAGGGTTTCCACTTAAAATTAGGGGAGTTTGTATCAAATTGCTCTCTAGAAGACTATGCCAATTAATGCTTTTGTTGAGGTCTTTTCAAATACTCATTTTATATTTTTTATTTATCTTTCTGACATTTAGCATTATGTTCAACTCCATGTATAAATATTCCTGCTTCTCCATTTATGCAGAAGCTTGGCTTTGGCACTGGGGTAAACGTCTACCTTATGAAAAGGTGAGTATAACATTCCACATTAAACTTTTCACATGGAACCCTAGTTGCTCTGTAATTGAAGACGAAAAGGAAGATGAAAATTCAAATATTTTGATCTCAGATATGTTCCTGGTCTTATCTGACTGCTATATTCCTGTCTTAGAAACCTTTTATAACTTTGCTACAGTTTTGCCTGGCTAACTTCTCTCTTACCTTCCTACTGATGGATTATTAAAGGAGAAGGAATTTGCTCAGTGAGGAGTCTGCTTCTCCCTCTCTGCTGCTCTCCCTGCTTGTGCTCTTTTGCTCACACACACACAATCTCTTTCTCTATTAAATAAATAAATAAAAACCTTTTAAAAAAGGGTATACGCATGATTTTAAAGTAGGAAAATTATGTTAAAAGAAGAATGAAAGTATAGGTGTCAATAAACATTTTTTTAAAGTTGTTTCTTTTATCCATTACTCTGTACTTTTATTTATTAAGTGGCAAATAACTTAAGTCAATATATATTCCTCATTGCATTCTTGGAATCAGCCTGACTACCAGCATATCGTTAGCTTTATCTAGGTTTATAATGTTTCCAAATAGAAATGCTTTCTTCAATAAAAAAGGTAATGAATTGAGACTAGCATAGCAATTATTTTAGTAAATGGCTATTCTTAAATATTTGTAGTTTAAACACCCCCTTCGTGTGTTCTTGTCCTATTTGTTTTTTAGACCTTCATTTTTTAACGTCTAAAAGCTTGTTATTTTGAAAGAAAAAATTCTCACAGATTTATGGCTAGTCTCATTTTTCCCTCCCTTTAAAAAAATATCCTTAATTGTAAAGTGTGTGTTACCAACAAAGTTCTACTATAGGCAAGACTTAGTTAGAAAACCTCACATTGTTGATATTGAACAATAGTAGTCACCTACTGACCTACCACTCCTCCTAACATAGCCTTGTGCACCCGGGATTTTTTTTTTTTTTACTGGTAGAGATTTCCTTCACTTCTCTGGTGAATCGGGCCCTCTGTTTTTCTGTATCTTCTATCTTACTATTCTTGGTTTATATTTTATTTTGAATGAGGGCACGTAGTAGTTCCCCATTGAAAGACGTACAGGAAATAACTTTTTTGCAGATCTGCATTTATGAATATGTTTTCATTTTACTCTCATTCTTGAATGGGCCTTTTTGTTTTTCTGAGTCAGAATTCTTATTTGGAAATAATTTTCCTCTAGAATTTTGAGGTCATTGTTCCATTGTTTACTAGCCTGTAGTGTTACTATTGAGATTTCTGAAGCCCTTCTGATTGCTGCTTCTTTTTATGTAATCTGGTTTAGGTTATTTGTTCCTCCCACTGTCCTGGAACCTCCTATGATCTTCTGTTTGTCACCAGTGTTCTGAAATTTCACAATGACATACATGAGTGTGGGCCTTTTGGAATCTGAAAATTCTTACTCTTAAATCTTTGGAAATTATTTTTTAAATTACTTTGTGGATAATTTTCACCCCCATTATTCTCTTCTCTATCTGGAATTCCTATTATTCTTTTTTGGGTGCGGGACTGATTTTCTTTTTGCTCTGCTTTCTGGGAGCTTTCTCCAACTTCATCTTCTGATACTTCTTTTTTTTTCATTTTTTGTCTGTCTTGTTTTTCATTAATTATCTTAACATTTTCCATTTTCAGATGGCATCCTAAGTCTTTTTGAGGGTGCTGTAAGTGCTCTGGATCCTGGTCTGGATGTTAATAAACCGGTATAACACATGTGAAATCACATTCAGCATTTAATATGCATATGGTCATGGCTTACTCTTCCCGTGTGCTTCATGAGTTCTCAACTATGGCAGTAAACCTCAGGCTAAAGACCTCTCCTTTAACCCTTCCAAAGTGGGTCTCCAGTGTTCAGAAGCTGGGGGAATAGCTGGACAGCTGATGCAGAATCGGGGAGGGTGTGTCTAGAAATTCACCTGCTTTTTAAGTGACTTTCAAGAAGGTCAGTAGGCCTGTTTAGTCTGTTATTTTCATGGGCTTCCCCATGCTCTTCCAAGCTTCTGAAAGTGTGTTGTTGTCTCCTTTTCATTATTTCTATCCCTTTCATTGGGTATAGGACTTAAAATACCCATTTTCTCTTATTTTAATGGGGCTTGGGACGGATCATAATTAATTGTGTATGTACAAGCTAGAAATCTATATTTTTAACCTAGAAGTCTATTTTTATGTTAAATCAAATTAACATTCCTAGATTAACTTAGTTGTGACACATTATTATTTTTTATAAACCTGATGAATTCATTTTGCTATTTAAGATTTTTATGTCTGTGAAATTGGTTTGTGATTTTCCTTTTTCTGTTGTCCCTATTTGATTTGTTTATTACGGTTATGCTAGATTCATAGTCCCTTTTCTTTCTATTCCCTGGAACAATTTGTGTAAGATGGAATGATAGGTTCCTTGAAAGTTTAGTAAACTGACCTGTAAAATTATTTAGGCTTTGTATTTTTTATGGGAATATTTTAAACTCTTGATTACATTTTCTCTTTTGTCAGGTTTCTTAGAATTTATCCATTTTGTCCTTTAAATTATTGGGGTAAAATTTTTAGTATTTATTCACTTATAATTTTTATCTCTGAGAAATCTGTGGTTATGTCTCTATTTTTGCTGGCAATATTTTTTGGGTCTCATTTTTTTCCCTTGTGCAATCTCATTTAAAAAATCTGCCTGTGTCGTCTTTTCAATGAACCAATTTTTAGCTTGGCAAAATATTTTATTCAGATTTCGTAAATATGTTCTTGGTGTTCGGTAGATTCAGATATGTTATGGAAAAGATGAAGATGGATTTATTCACTGAATTCTAAATCCTCAGAAGCTGAGGGATACCCTTTGAAACCTGAAAAATATATTTTTCATAATAAAATCACACGGAAGAGGTCATCCCCAAATGCTATTGTTATCTAAAACTGGAGGTTTAAGAATACTTTGGATAGACTTATGATAGATGGATGTGAATTAAGAAATCTAGTGATCCTTTGAGTGCATGTTTTTTGATTTAAAAAAAAAAAGATCCTGCAATCATGGAGCCATGTTCATGAGTTAGTAAAAAACTAAGTGGATTCCTGATTCTTTGTTCAGTCTGTTTTATCTTCTTATGGTAAAACGTTTTATCTCTAACTTTCGAGGCTCTTTCATTAGCTTTCCTGCCCATATGCTGCATACACTTTGTCCTTAATTTGCCGTCGTCCCATGAATAACTACCTACCTTACCAGGTAACCTTTTCCCTGACTTTGTTCTACCTGTTAATTTAAACCTTAGAATGTTTTCCCCTTAAATATTCTGAAAATGACTGACTCTTCCTAGAAAACAGTTTATGTTTTTTCTCATTTGTATGTTTATTATCTCCTTACACTTGTGTCTTTGAGTATATGGTGGAAGGTATAGGACGGATCGGTTACTGTGGAGGCACAATATTTGTTGGTGAAGAGCAGTCTGTTACTCTTTGCACAATCGTATATGGGCCAAATGTTTCTCATACATCTCTTCTTTAAACTTCTTGAATAGTAGTCTTTATTACTTAGCATTCTATAACTTACCTCTGGTACATATAGTTCAATGTTTGATAAGTAGTTAGTAGTCTGACATGCTGAAATGGAAAAATTAGAAAATAGTATAGTAATTTTGAAGTTTAGAATTTATAATGTTCCTCTTTTTCCTTTTAGTTGTCTCTTTTTAACCCCTCCCTTTCAGCAATAGATATCAGACTTCTCTTGTGGCTAATAGATATATGAGCTATATATCTTCCAATTAAAAAAAATATGTAGCAGAGGTGTCGATAATCAAAAATATTTAAAAATTTTTTTAAAGATTTATTTATTTGAGAAAGAGCATGCATGGAGGTGGGGGAGGGTCAGAGGGAGAGAGAGTCCTGAGTAGACAGTGCACTGAGCACAGAGCCCAATGCAGGGCTTGATCTCATGACCCTGAGATCATAACCTGAACTGAAACCAAGAGTTGGATGCTTCAGTGACTGAGCCACCCAGGTGTCCCAGTAGTCAAAAATATTTGTAAAAAATTTTTAAACAAATTATTATTGAACCCTTTCCAAAATCTGAATGTTCTTGTTAGTTATTTGAAATGCATTATGTTATTATTGTTTCCATACATTGTTTGATTATTCTTTTAAGATCTCCCAGAGGTTTGTCTCATTCTCCTTGGGCTGTGAAAAAGATTAACCCTAGATGTAATGATCATTATCAAAGTATGTATCAAAAGAGACTAATAGATGAAGCTAAGATTTTGAAAAACCTCCATCATCCAAACATTGTAGGTAAGTTTAAATTTATCTTGCAGCAGTGCATGTGTTTATTCAGAAACAGTTTATACAGTCTCTTGACCAGTGTCAAAATGAAGGTGGTGGTGGAGTTTGGCAAGAACTAGATTATTGTGACTGTTCTAAAATAAGAATTATATTTTTAGATGCTTATGTATTTTTAAAATTTAATGGGACTAGATATACTCATTATGATGCTGGCACTGTAGAGAATGCAGGAATATAAAATGACCTTCATTTAGATAATTTCCTTATTTTCATCTTTAATGTAAATAAGACTAGTGAAACCATTATATTTAGGAAGGCATAGAACATTTAAAAATATTTTAATTTGTGTTACTATTGGCAAACACTGAAGTCATTTTAAATTGTATCTACTGAATTAGCTTTATAAATAATTGTTTCATTGTATTTTGTCAGTTTCCAATCACATCACTGTAAAAAAACTTAAATACTGTTTTTTCCTATTCCTGTAAGAAAATGTCCTGTTTTCTTTAAGGTTATCGTGCTTTCACTGAAGCCAGTGATGGTAGTCTTTGTCTTGCTATGGAATATGGAGGTGAAAAGTCTCTAAATGACTTAATAGAAGAACGAAATAAAGACAGCCAAGATCCTTTTCCAGCAGCCATAATTTTAAAAGTTGCTTTGAACATGGCGAGAGGGTTAAAGGTAAGCAGGCCATTATATTTTAAATGGCTCTTGTGGAACATAAAAGAACTACCTTATATACCTAATTACAAGGTGGGATTTTTTTTTTTTTTCCCCAAAAGAAGTAGATGTGCTAAGTGAAAGTCTTCATTGACTCTCATACTGTAGCAGCAGGGCTTCCTTATCTTGATGAGCAGAGTATTGTTTGAGGCCTTTACAGAGCCTGAAATAATCCAAGTCAGGTAGTTTTGTTTATAGAGATCATATGTTAGGTTTGGTTAAAAGGATTAATCAGTTTAACACAAATTTAGTAATTCTTCCTGGGGGCGGGGGGGGGGGTAACCTAATCCTCTGTGGATGTAAACAAACCTCTTAAAGATTGCTTTGTGAGACGTTAAGTTTTGGATACCAATATACATCTATAGGTCAAGTGAAAAAAAAAAAAGCTCCTTTAGTGTTGTCAGATAAATTGTTGTGCCTTTGAATACATACAACAAAAGGAAAAGAATTTGTTATGGTAGGTAACCGAACAGGAGAACCGGCAGCTTGGGAACACTGTTGGATGACTGGAAAGTGGAGCATGTATTGGTGTTGACATCAAAGTTGCATGTTAAAAGTTCATATAAAATTGACTTGTGAAATATAAAACTGCATAAAAGCAATATTTCTAAGTACATATTTTCATATGTATGTAGAAAAACTGATTTTAGGATAGGATAAGCTAAATTAATCATTTGAATTATTTAATAAATAACAACTTTATATATGGATAGTAGAATTAATAAATTTCACTATAAATATATTTGAGCATACTCAATTTATGATCAACATTTAAATTAAGCACAGTAGGTGTTTGAAAGCATATACCAAAAATTGTCTCTGCACTAGTTTGAAGCAGCTCACAGAGTAGTTGCTCAAATGCCGATGAATGAACAAATAAGAGTTTGGCAGGATTCTTTTTGATTATGAATGGGTATCATTACTAAGGGTTAATGTGTAAAATAAACTATTAGTCTTGGATGACATTTCTGCTTCCTCTTCTTGTTGTAACTAATGCCCTTATCTGTTCTGCATTATCTTGACACCTTGTTTGTGAAAAGTGTGCCTCATTTTGAAGATTCCAAATTCATTTCTAAAACTTACTAGTCTCAAATAGAATTGTGATATATTTTTAAAGCCACAGTATCCTCTTTTGCTGTAAAAGTATGAAATACATTTGAAAAGGAAAAGTTAGCTTATCTATAAACAGACATTGATTTCCAAAGCCTCCTTTATGGCAGACTGGTCAGTATGGCAGACTGAAGTAACCTGGGATGTTCTCTTGTCTGACTTCAAGTAATCTGAAATGATGGACAGATACCATCCTGCGTGTAGTTCAGGAAGGGAGTTCAGTTGTTTTTTTGTGTTTGAAAGTTATCATATGCATTTTTATCAGTTTATGTGTTTGCTCTGATGTGTTAAATTTCCCACTATTTTAGTATCTACACCAAGAAAAGAAACTGCTTCATGGAGACATAAAGTCTTCAAATGTTGTAATTAAAGGTGATTTTGAAACAATTAAAATCTGTGATGTAGGAGTCTCTCTACCACTGGATGAAAATATGACTGGTAAGTAGTATTTGGATTTTTATTATTTTTTTAAACAATTTTATTTATTTATTTGAGAGAGAGAGAGAGCGCAAACAGTCGGTAGGGAGAGAGCAAAGCAGACTCCCTGGGGGCTCAGTCCCAGGACCCTGGATCATGACCTGAGTAGAAAGCAGATCCTGAACCTGACTGAGCCACCTAGGCGCCCCAGTAATATTTGAATTTTTAAACTTTATTCTTACGCGATTTTTAAATTTCTAATTTTTATGTATTTTAATAGATAATTTACGTACTTCACAAATCAAAAACCATGTATAAAAAGTGTATAGTAAACAATATCCTTCCTTTCTCTCTTCCACTTAGCCTCCAGCCCCCTCCCTTGCTACACCCATAATATAAATTATTTCATTTTTATTAACATCTACTTTAACTGAAGATGACTTTAGGAACTATTTCTAACCAGGATTGGGATTTTTATGTGGTAAAAGATCTGAGACTAGAAAACAAAGTTTTCTTTTAATAAGGTTTTATAAAGGAATTCATTTAGTGACAAGATTGGAGAAACTGATAGAAACGGGGTAGAAGTAGGAAAGTGGGGTGCTACTAAAGGCCTTCTGCTTCTTATCCCTTGGCGTGTCTTTACTCATTCTTTTCACTCTAATATAAATACTGACATCCTCAGAAAATTTAAGATCTCGGTGAGAACTGAAAGCCAGCCTTGTAAAGAAAGCCTTTGCTTTCAACATGTTATTTAATAAATAACATTTAAATTTGCTTCTTGATATGAATATAAGGTAAAAGAAAGATTAATTAATGCTGTTAAGAACTTTTGCACACTTTAATTTCTAGCTAAGGTAAAATAATCTATGAGTTAGGTCGAAGGAAAAAGCCAAGATGAATAGAGCACCTTTATGAAGATGTTTGTAATCATTCATGAAGGTAGGCCTATTATGAGCCTTTAGGTTACGTAACTGCTACAGAGTTGAAATTTTCAAATATTAAAGGAGAAATTGTGAAACAATAAAAATGAGATTTTTTTAGCATAATTTTCTCAGTCCTTAATAGATCAAATAGACAAAACTAAGATGTAGAAGTTCTGAGTAGATAATAAGGTCAATATGTATCCAAGTATTTATTAAAATTGAACATGTATTAAGTTATAAGAGAAAACCTCAGATTACAAAAAGTGGAAGTATTGCATGGAGTTCTGGGTGTGGTGCATAAACAATGAATTTTGGAACACTGAAAAAAAAATTAAAAAAAAAAGTGTAAGTGGTCTAATAGTTGACATTCATTATCCCTTAGCACTAAAAATCTAGAAATTAATGACACGATTAGAAACAAAACACCTGCATTTTTTAGGAATTCAAAATATTTGTAAATAATTCTTAGCTGAAATCAAATTCCACCTACACAAATGTTTACAAAATGATGAGACTGTAACAACAAACCAAAACCTATTTGATATTGTCAGCACTACACAGATTAAAACATTTTCATTATTTAAACTTTATGAAGTTAAGTTTGAGTATTCAACTCTCATCAGAAAAAAAATGAAGCCCTAAAAAGCAGAAAGCAGAAAGTGAATGAATTAAAAAACACATAAATTCTGTATTATTCCAATATGATCTATTTTATTTTAGAACGTGTCAAAGTTCATAGTTTATAAACATGTAAAACAGTTCATAAACATATTAACAGTTCATCCTTGATACATGTTCAAACGAGCCAAGAAAATTCTATGAAAGAATGACAAGTAGGAATTTTCCCAAGGAGATGTTAAGAAGTATTATAAAGCCACAGTAATTAAAGCAGTGATACTCATGAGAAAAAAGGCAGAAAAATATAAAGTCAGGTATTCCCAAATATATCAAATTTGTTATAATAAAAGTGACAATTTAGTATTAGTGGGAGAGAGGTGGTTTGAATCAATAAACGATGATGTCTGGATGTTTTAGAAAAATAAAGCTGTTTTCCATCTTCACGCTCATCCTCGTAGATTGAGGATGTAAAAAAAAAAAATAGTGGAAAAAAATTGTAAGTAAATATTTCCTTAATATTGGGCTTAAGAAGGACACCAAAGTTAGACACGATTTTAAAAAAAAGCCATGACTATGAAAAATTCTTTGAAAAATTTCTCAATGCTACTACGAGTGATAGGATAGCTTTAATGTGTACTCATACGTGATATAGAAGCGCGACTGGTGTACCATTCAGTTTAGGCTAAGTTGTGCTGTGGCAGCAAACGCTCAAAAACTCAGCGGCTTCACCAACCAAGGCTTTTTCAGGCTGCACGTCAAGATGGCTGCGTTCCACGCATGCTCACTTGAGGACCTTAGCTGCTCGAACATCCATTGTATGGAATATTGTCATCGTTGTATGTATGGAGGGTAAAAAAGGCTCTATGGCGGGGCGCCTGGGTGGCTCAGTGAGTTAAAACCTCTGCTTTCGGCTCGGGTCATGAACCCAGGGTCCTGGGATTGAGCCCCACATCGGGCTCTCTGCTCAGCGGGGAGCTTGCTTCCTCCTCTCTCTCTGCCTGCCTCTCTACCTACTTGTGATCTCTGTCTGTCAAATAAATAAATAAAATCTTAAAAAAAAAAAAAAAGCTCTATGGCTGTGCACTGCAGTAGATACTAGCTACATCTTGCTATTTAAATTAATATTTTAACATTTTAAACAATTCCATTCTCAGCCCACCCACCCACTTTGCAAGTGCTCAGTAGCTATGTATGGTTACTGGCTACCATATTGGACAAGGCAGATATGGGACATTTCTATTGTCACAGAAAGTTCTGTTGGAAAGTGCTGCCCTAGAAAGTCTTGTGTTAACAGATGCTCAAGATTAGAAATGATATAAGTCCCCTCTTTCACAACTCGCTGGCCAGGACCAGGCAGATGGCTGCATCCGAGCTTGACAGGCCAGAGAGTGCAATCCTTCCATGTGTCCTGAGGGGGGAAAGTATGAACTACTTGATGAACAGCACTGGTAACTGCTACACTGGGCAATTTGGAAAGGGGTATTTTTTTAAAGAAGAAAACCCTTTCAAAATGTCCTTTGATCCTATAATTCATTCCCAAGAACGTATTCCAAAAAAATAATTGGGCAGAGTAGGTATTTTTTTTCAGAGTAGGTATTTTTAGTAATGACCTGATATATTAACTTAGCAAAACCAAAGGAGACCTAGGCTTCTAGAAGAAATAGAATTGAGACAGAAGAATCAAAACCCATGTAGCTTTAAAAGCAAAGCAGAAACAAAAACAGTAACTATCCTGATAAAAATACGAACACTTGGAATTTTGGCCGACCCTCAGCCTCAGTCTATCCTGTGTAAACATAAACCCGGGTTTGCGCTTCCTTGAGGGCATTTATTTTCAGTAGATACTTTTAATTAAAATTTGGGCGCCTGGGTGGCTCAGTGGGTTAAGCCTCTGTCTTCGGCTCAGGTCATGATCTCAGGGTCCTGAGATTGAGTCCCGCATTGGGCTCTCTGTTCAGTGGAGAGCCTGCTTCCCCCACTCTCTCTGCCTACTTATGATGTCAAATAAATAAAATCTTTACAAAATAAATAAAATTTTAAAATCTGATCTTGCTTTCTCAAGAAAAAAAAATATTGGCAAGCTTAGGGGAAGTGTCTGGGCAGCTCCTTTACTGGAACTCTCAGCTTCACGAGACAATTTAAGGTTAGAGTCAGCCTAGCAGTTCCTAAAGCTGCTAGACCAGCCGTGCATTAAGAGAAGGCATTTCTCTTCTCTTGAGCTAAGGCTTTCTCTTTGTGAAGAAGTTTAAAGATAACAGGTAATGGGAAAACAAAATTAATCTTTTCATACCTCATTGTTTCTGCACTAATTTGTGTTAATATACGCACAAAAATATGCATTGTAGCAGAACAGACTGCAGAACTTTAAGTGAATGTCCATCAGTAAGGGATGATTTAATTTATTGTACCACCACACAATAGAATTTCATTAGAATTACATAGGTTTATATTTGTAAGAATGGTATGTCCAGATATATTAAGTGAAATGAACACATTCTAAAATAGCACTTAAATATGTATATATTAAGACAAGTTTGGAAAAAATACATCTAAATCTTTAAAACTTATTTTTAAGTTTTATATTTTAATAGGAGACATATTCACGTCGATTATACATGAGGTATTCTGTGACAAGCCCAAATTTTAACAATGGTTATCTCTAGATTGGTTGATTGATTTAGCAAATATTTTTGTATTGAGTGCAGTCAGGTATTGTGCTAGGTACTATGAATGCAGAGGAAAATGGATGGACACAGTTCTTACCCTTCTTAAAATTTTTATATGTATTTTGTAAATTAATGTATAGGTGACACATAATATTATGTTGGTTTCAGGTATGCAACAGTGATTTGACAAGTCTGTATGTTCTGCTGTGCTCACCACAAGTATAACTACACTTATCACCATACAACGCTGTTACAGTACCATCTTTATTCCCTAAGCTGTGCCTTTCATCCTGTCACTTATTCTTTCTATAACTGGAAATCTGCACCTCCCACTCCCTTTTACCCACTTTTGCCATCCCACTGGCAACTATCAGTTTGTTCTCTGAATTTATAGGTCTGTTTCTGTCTTTTGTTTGTTCATTTGTTTTGTTTTTTAGATTTCACATATAAGTTAATTTATAGTATTTGTCTTTCTTGGAGTTAGTTCACTTAACATAATACCCTCTGGGTCCCTCCATGCTGTTGGAAATGGTGAGATCTCTTTGTTTTTTTTAATGGTTCCATGATATTCCATTGTGTGTGTGTGTGTGTGTGTGTGTGTGTGTGTGTACATACATACATACCACACAGGCATATATATACATGTGTGTAAGCCACATCTTCTGTATCCATTCATCTATTGATGGACACTTGAGTTGCTTCTGGGTCTTGGCTATTGTAAACAATGCTAGAGTAAACTGAGGGGGGCATATTTCTTTTTGAATTATTGTTTTCATTTCCTTTGGGTCAATACCAGTAGTAGAATTACTGGTCATACGGTAATTCTATTTTTAATTTTTTGAGGAACCCCCGTACTCTCTTCTACAGTGACTGCACCAATTTTCATTCCCACCAGTAGTATACGAGAGTTCCTTTTCTCTACGTCCTCACCAACACTTGTTATTTCTTGTCTTTTTGATACCAGCTATTCTGACTGGTGTGAGGGGTTATCTTGTGATTTTGATTTGCAGTTTCCCCATGATGAGTGATGTTGAGCATCTTTTCATGTGCCCATTGGCTGTGTGTGTGTCATCTTTGGAAAAATGTTCGGATTCTCTGGCCATTTTTTAATTAATAGTTTGGTTTTTTTTATGTTGAGTTTTATGAGTCTTTATGTATTTTGGATACTCACCCTTATTGGATATATCATTTACAAATATCTTCTCCCATTCAGTAAGTTGTCTTTTTGTTTTGTTGATGGTTCCTTCACTGTACAAAAAAAGTACGTTGTTTTGGTGTAGTCCCAGTAGTTTATTTTTGCTTTTGTTTCCCTTGCCTGAGGAGACAGATCTAGAAAAATGTTGCTAAGGCCAATGTCAAAAATATTATTGCCTGTGTGTTCTTTTAGGAATTTTATGATTTCAGGTCTCACATGTAGGTCTTTAAGCCATTTTGAGTTTGTTTTTGTTTATGGTATAAGAAAGGGGTCCAGTTTCATTCTTCTGCATGTAGCTGTCCAGTTTTCCTAGTACCATATATTGATTGCTTCCTTTGTCATGGATTAATTAGCCATATAAGCATGGGTTTCATTCTGGGCTCTGTTCTGTCCCTCAGTGTGTCTACTTTTGTGCCAGTACCGTACTGTTTTGATTACTAGAGCTTTATAGTAGATCTCGAAATCTGTAATTTGGTATTTCCAGCTTTGTTTTTCTTTCTCAAGATTGCTTTGGCTATTTGAGGTCTTTTGTGGTATCTATAGTCTATATTCCTGCCACTTCTCTTCGTGTTTGTTTTTTTTTTTTAAGAGAGGGGAGGGACAGAGGGAGAGGGAGAATCTGAAGAAGCTCCCTGCTGAGTAGGGAGCCCCACTTGGGGCTTGATCCCTGGACCCTGAGATCGTGGCCTGAGCTGAAGGCATGTCAGATCCTTAAGTGACTGAGCCCCTCAGGCGCCCCGATTCCTGCCACCTTCTAAGAGAAATGCTGTTTCTCTACACCCTTGCCAACTGGCCAGCTTTTTTAATATTTTACAATTTAATAAGGAAAAAGTAATTCTTACTGAGATTGAGTGTATTTTCATGTTTATTACCTACATTTAGTAACCTCTAAACTACCTGTTAAAACATTTATCCAGTTTTCTTTAGGTTGGTTGCCTTTCTTAGTGATTTCTAGTGCTTACCCTAAAGACCGACTTTCTTGTATTTTACTTGTTTCAGTGACTGACCCTGAGGCCTGTTACATTGGCACTGAGCCTTGGAAACCCAAGGAAGCTTTGGAAGAGAATGGGATTATTACTGACAAGGCAGATATATTTGCCTTTGGCCTGACTCTGTGGGAAATGATGACTTTGTCTATTCCACACATTAATCTCCCAGATGATGACGATGAAGGTATAACTACATATTTTTACCATAAACCCCAGTCTCTTCATTTTGAACTAAAGATCAGCTGGTAAAATTATATTTCATCTTTCTATTAAGTTAAAATTTAAAAGAGGAAGTTATTTGAACTAGTGCATGAGATAATGGATTATATTAATGTGGACTAATTTGGCACGATCTCAGTTTAATCTCCTACAAATGAGATGCATGTTAATTGACAATAAATAGGGAGATAAATTGAGAAGATCCTGCAGAGCAGAAAGTTTCCTTGGAAACTCCCCTCGCCTACGGAAATGACTGGAGAGCTGTCATATAGTAAAAAGGGAGGGGTTCGTGACCTGTAAACTATGACGGTAGCTGATCTCTGCCATGGCTGGGTAATGGAAGAGACCACCTGCCTCCCAGGTGATGAGCTCTCGTTTTGGAGGGTGAGTTTGAGCAGATGCTAAGATTTTCCATGACTTAGTGTTATTTTGTTTGTGTCAACTCCTCTTGAGCAGATCAAACTTTTGATGAAAGTGACTTTGACGATGAAGCATACTATGCAGCTCTGGGGACGAGGCCTCCTGTTAATATGGAAGAACTAGATGAAACGTACCAGAAAGTAATTGAACTCTTCTCTGTATGCACCAACGAAGATCCTAAAGATCGCCCTTCTGCCGCACACATCGTGGAAGCTTTGGAAATAGATGTCCAGTGATCCCCTCATTTTTGTGACTCCTGAGCTTTACGTTGGCTCATGTATATAACTGTTCTGTTTAGTGTAATACATTATATAGTTACCGTGATAAGCTGTAATTACTGTATTTTTTGAAGTGACCAGCTTTAGGACCATAGCTCCTAGAACATTTAAACAATTATTTATATTTAACATGTTTACGATGGTAAGCATTTGAGATTGTAGAAGTTTTCTATTAAGTTTAAGAAACTAGCTACTTAAGTATATGAATTTGTTTGTACAGTTTAAAACACTAGCAATAACACAATATGCTATAAACTCTATGTCTAACAATTTAGATTGAGTGACCATTACTTTTATTAATGCTCAAAAATTCTTTATTTTAATGGATCTATTGAGATTAGCACTTTGCGCACTACAAAATAAGTCTGTGTTTGCTTATTTTTTTTAAACCATTAAACTTTTTCCTGGCCTTTTTGGCTGATGTGCTTATACTAAATATGGTCCCCAGAAGCTGAGAGAATGGGGCTCAAAAGACTGGCTCCTTGGGTATTTACAGGCATTTTTGGTTCAGGCTTGTCTTGCTCTCTTGGATCTCCCTAGGTCTTTCGCTTTTGCTTTAATTTATTAAATGTATTTTCTGCATGGAGATCCCTTTTTTATTTTTATTTAGTGATCTATTTAAAGCATTTCATAGTTCCGGTGTTAAGAACAATAAAATTTGAATAGGATGATATAGAATAAAGGAGACTTCAGTTACCAGAATTTGTCTTATTTTATACGTAATTAATTTGAATGTCATCATTAAATATATTGAGTGAATGTGAGTGAATGTGAGTTTCTTGTGGCCTATAAAACAAGGGTGATTTGGATCAGCAGTTTCTCTGCCACAGCTGCCTGGGCATTTTTTCTTTTTTTAAGATTTATTCGTTTATTTGAGAAAGAGACAGTAAGGGGGTGGACTGAGGGAGAGGGAGAGATACTCTCCAGCAGACTTCCCGCTGAGCACAGAGCCCAACGCAGGCTCATGGGGCTCCATCCCAGGACCCTGAGATGATGACCTGAGATGAAATCAAGGTTGGACACTTAACCAGCTGAGCCACCCCAGTGCCCGCCGCCTGGGCATTTTTAGTTAGTGAGTTGTGTTTGTGACTCCAGGTGATACACCTGGACTTGACTAGACAAAGAGTTGGAAGAGTTACTGTCCCTTCTTGTGGACAGAGGAAGAACCATTACACACTGAGCTTTAAACAATTCTAGAATTCATTGGAGGTTCCTTTTAGAATGAGATTGTACCAAGCCATAGTACACAGATATTAATGGGTGTATGTTCCATCAACATACCAGTAAAGTGACATTAAAGCAAATTGAAAGCTGACTCAGAAAAATCTAGTATACAAGTTTACACGCTCTATGTAGCTACCCTCACGTTGACTTTTATATGATCTCATTAGGTCTGCCAAGTTGACAATCTCTTGGTCCATTCTCATGAATTGCAGCTTTCTTTTTAATACATAATCCAAAACTTTTTTTTCCCTTGAGAAATTTGTTTCGGGTGCTATAGTTGGAATATCTAAATGGGAACAAACTAATACCCAAGAACTGGGTCAGCAAATTCACAGCACTTGTCACTTGTCAATGGCAGACACTGCAAAACGTTCCTGGCATTTTGTGTCTGGATGGGGGTCTTAAAGTCCTCAACACAAAGTTCTAGGCGATCTGCTGCCAACTCCAAGAAAGTTTTTTATCCTGTTCTGGAACTTGCTCTGTAAGTCTCAGATGTTACCTTGTTTGGGACCATTTGCCTTATTCTCAGAAAAGTAATGTGACTGAGTGAAGGATACAGCAGGACTAATCTTTTTGCTGAATTAATTATAATTGGCAGTTCTACACAGGCTTCTCCCAACTAGCTTTCTCACCTTCCAGAAAATTTCCCTTTGTTATCAGGGCAAGGCCTCCAAGAACCCGTTTGCACCTCTAGAAAATAGAGATCAGTAGCTGCTCAAGAAATGTGGATTATTGGGGCGCCTGGGTGGCTCAGTGGGTTAAGGCCTCTGCCTTCGGCTCGGGTCGTGATCCCAGGGTCCTAGGATCAAGCCCTGCATTGGGCTCTCTGCTCGGTGGGGAGCCTGCTTCCTTCTCTCTCTCTCTGCCTCTCAGCCTACTTGTGATCTCTATCAAATAAATAAATAAAATCTTTAAAAAAAAATGTGGATTATTCATTGGCTCCTGATTCCTACTTTATCCACAATTTGTTACTTAAAATAAAATTGATTTTTTTAAAAAAGATTTACTTATGAGAGAAAGCAGGGGTAGGAACAGAAGGAGATCAAGAATCCTCAAGCAGACTCCCTATTGAACACAGAGCCAGACTTGGGGCTCAACCCTACAACCCTGAGATCGCTACCTGAACTGAAACCAAGAGTCGGACACTTAACTGATGAAGCCACCCAGGTGCCTCTAGAAAATTTTTCATTTTTTACAAATTCTTATTTCTTAAAGATTTTATTTATTTGACGGAGAGCACAAGCAGGGACAGCAGCAAAAGGAGAGGGTCTCCACTGAGGATCTCCACTGAGCAGGGAGCCTGATGTGGGTCCTCAATCCCAGGACCCTGGGATCATGACCTGAGCCGAAGGCAGATGCCCAACGACTGAGCCACCCAGGCACCCCACTAGAAGAGATTTTTAAGTAATCATATACTATACCTAAAAACTTGAGGGTGCAGCTAAAGTGGTGCTTTATAGAGATTTATAGTCTTAAATGCTATTAAAACCCTGAAAAACTGGGAAGCTAAGTACATAGGAAAAACAAAACTCCCAATAGAAGGGATGAAATGAGCATAAATTTAAAAACAGAATCTACCAAATAAAATAGAAAACAAACCTATAATAGAATCAACAGTGTCAAAAGTTCTTTGAAGATACAAATAAAATTCATAAACCTAATAAGCCTTAGTAAGAGTCATTGGAGAGTAAAAAAGGCATCACTAATGCAAAAAGGAAAGTGCATACCCTACAGATACTCAGTCTCATTCATGAACAGCTGAAAACAATCCAAAAGTATTAGTAAACCAACCAGTAATATAAAAACTTCAAGGCCAAGTTGAGAATTATTTCAGCAAGACCAGGTTGACTTAACATTCAAAGAACAATGTAATCATCATATTCACCCAATGAAAATTCAGTGATCTCCAAAGAAGAAAAATTTTGATAGAATCCAGTTAAAGACATTTGAAAGCTTAGAAAATAAAAATAAAAGCCTCTTAGAAACCTAAAAACAGGGACACCTGGGTGGCTTAGGGGGTTAAAAGCCTCTGCTTTAGGCTCAGGTCATGATCCCAGGGTCCTGGGTTCGAGCCCCACATCGGGCTCTCGGCTCCACGGACAGCCTGCTTCCTCCTCTCTCTCCCTGCCTGCCTCTCTGCCTACTTGTAATCTCTGTCAAATAAATAAATAAAACCTTAAAAAAAAAAAAAAAAAAACCTTTCTCCACATCCCCTCTTACACTGTTGGTGGGAATGCAAGTTGGTGCAGCCACTTTGGAGAACAGTGTGGAGATTCCTCAAGAAATTAAAAATAGAGCTTCCCTATGACCCTGCAATTGCACTACTGGGTATTTACCCCAAAGATACAGATGTAGTGAAAAGAAGAGCCGTCTGTACCCCAATGTTTATAGCAGCAATGGCCACGGTCGCCAAACTGTGGAAAGAACCAAGATGCCCTTCAACGGACGAATGGATAAGGAAGATGTGGTCCATATACACTATGGAGTATTATGCCTCCATCAGAAAGGATGAGTACCCAACTTTTGTAGCAACATGGATGGGACTGGAAGAGATTATGCTGAGTGAAATAAGTCAAGCAGATAGAGTCAATTATCATATGGTTTCACTTATTTGTGGAGCATAACAAATAGCATGGAGGACAAGGGGAGTTAGAGAGGAGAAGGGAGTTGGGGGAAATTGGAAGGGGAGGTGAACCATGAGAGGTTCATAGAGGTTCATAGTCTCATGAGAGACTATGGACTCTGAAAAACAATCTGAGGGTTTTGAAGGGGCAGGGGGTGGGAGGTTGGGGGAACCTGGTACTGGGTATTAGAGAGGGCACGGATTGCATGGAGCACTGGGTGTGGTACAAAAACAATGAATACTGCTGTTATGCTGAAAATAAATAAATTTAAAAACAAAACAAAACAAAAAAACCCCTAAAAATAGAGAAGAGGAGCTTCCTTCAGTGTGTCTACATCTAACAAGTCAAAGTTAACATTTTATAGTTACTATGGATAGAAAGTTTATGTCCCCCTAAAATTCAGGTTGAAGCCTAATCAATCCAAAACGTGATAATGTCTGGAAGGAGGGACATTTGAAAGGTCATTAGGTCATAAAGGCAGAGCCCTCAGAAGTGGACTTACTGTCCTTGACAGAGATAAGATCTCTGTCCTGTGAGGCTGCAGCAAGGCTGCAAGGCAGGAAGTAGGATCTCCCCAGGCCCTGGATCTGCCAGTGCCTTGATCTTGGACTTAGCAGCCTCAGGAACTGTGAGAAATAAATTGTTTAAGCCACCCAGGCCATGGTATTTTTGTTATAGCGCCCAACTAAGACAAGAGTGAAATGCTGAAAGCTTTTCCTATGAAAAATGGAATGAGACATTAATTCAAAACTGAAAATCCAAAAGAATCTACAGATGAACCTTTGGATTAAAGTTTAGAAAGGCTGCTGAATGCAAGGTCAAATATAGAAAAGTCAGTTGTATTTTATCAGCAAACAAATGAAACTTCAACAACTTTACTTCCAGATCCTTTCAAAGAAAGGATCAAATGCTTAAGAATAAATCTATATATATATTGGGGCGCCTGGGTGGCTCAGTGGGTTAAAGCCTCTGCCTTTGGCTCAGGTCATGATCCCAGGGTCCTGGGATCCAGCCCCACATCGGGCTCTCTGCTCAGAGGGGAGCCTGCTTCTCACTCCCTCTCTGCCTGCCTCTCTGCCTACTTGTGATCTCTCTCTCTCTCTGTCGAATAAATAAGTAAAATCTTTAAAAAAAAAAAAAAAAGAATAAATCTATATAAATTACACAAGACCTCTAATATTGAAAGCCCCAAATTACAGAGAAACTAAATAAATGGGGAAATATAACATGTGTACAAATAAAAGATAAAATAGCTTCCGCAATCTTTCCCAAATTGGCCAATACAATTTGATGCGATTCTAGTAAAATCCCAACAGTTGTTTTTTTAAATTGGTGATGGCTTTTTGAGAATCTTAAACTGATTGTAAACTGTACATGAAAATGCAAAGGGCCAAGAATAGACCCAATACCTTTTTTTTTTTTTTTAAAGATTTTATTTGTCAGAGAGAGTAAAAGCAGGGCAAGCAACAGGCAGAGCAGGTAGAGGGAGGAGCAGGCTCCCCACTGAGCAGGGAGCCCAATTCGGGGATGTGAGACTCAATCCCATGACCCTGGGATCATAA